CCCTGGGTCACAGGTTACAAAGGGCACCTGTCATAGCATACATGCAGACAGCTGGAGCAGCCTCACCTGCCCCAGAGGTCTCAGCCAAAGTCACACACCCCTATTATCACCACCGAGGTATTGGTGCAGCACACGGAAACTGAGGCACACATTATTTATGCAAAACGTAAAACTCACATAGGCTCAACAGTAGGACTCACATACAGCATAACCAGGGAAAATATCCACTCCCCCACAACTTGTGCGGGGGCAGGGCAGATGTTTGTCTTTAAACATGGTGGGGAGAAAAGTCGCTGCTTTTTTTTTAAGGTGTGGCTTGGCGAGTGTCAAAAGTAGATTACATTTTTAAAACACAAACAGTTGTAATAGTCTGGTGGTTGATTTTAAAAAAAAAAGTGAACTGTGTTTTGTAAAGTCAGAACTTATTCAAGGATATCTTTTCTCCCTAACCCCCCCCCCCCAAACTGTAGGTAAAGCACTGAGAGGTTATGCTTGATAAGAGAGCCTGTTGACCTTGTTTCATTTCTTGTGTTTTGATCACTGATTGCTATGGAGATGATATGCTGTTCTGAGTAATCAACAGCAAGACAAGAATGCTTGATCATAATACCTACTGTTTGCTCTTTGAAATTAAGCTGTAGTGAAATGCTTAACCCACTTTAACATTACAATATTGTGGAGCTTGATTGTTCAGGGAAGCTCAAGGGTGCACTCTTTTTCAAACAGGTGAAGAACAAATAAAGTAACCATGCCGTGCTATATACTACTGTTTGTTCTGCCAAATAAATCTGATTTCATAAAATTGCTATAACACAAATTACTTTCAAATTTTATTTTTAGCATGGCACAGAACTTTAGGGCTTCATATTTTAAACTATGATAAATGAGACAGTTTGCAAACTTTGCTTAGATTTATCTGAACTTGCAGTTCTTACTTGTGGTAATCTAATTTTCTGTTAAATGCAAAACAATATCTTCATGGTGAACAATGCAAGGGCTATGCCATATTGATTGCGTAATATATTGTGACATCATCCAGTGACCATCCTAATGAAATGCTAATCTAGCTACAGCATAAGTGAGAATTTCTAAAACTTCTGGCATTTTCTTTTGTAATGCTTATGGTTTGTCTCTAATCTCTCTAAATAATTGAACAGTATGAACTTGTTTGGGATTCTGTTGTGTAAATGAATGGGTTAGATTTTCTTTACTTAAAACTAGAACTAGCATGTTGCTTTTCATATGTTTTTATATTACAAAAGGACTTCCTGTTAGAGATTGTTTTAATTTCAGAGTAGTCTGAGCATATTCCAGAGTTGACTATGAAATGTATAGCACTATTGTCATGTTGTTAAGTGGACTTCTGCATCCTTACTAATTGAGAAACTTTTCTTTGTTGAATAAGCCTGATGGTTTGTGTATAGTAAAAGCTCTAGTTAAATTACTAAAATAAGTAACTTTTCATTATTATAATTTTGAATAAAGAAGCACTTTTGTAGCATTTGAAGAATGTGGACTAAGGCAAGTTAACTGATTATTTTAAATATAGATCTTCATGAGTTTTACTACTGTAACATCCAAATTATGGTATCCTAGGAAACCAAAGGAAGAGCATTCTTAATTCTTTGTATTGTACATATTAAATCTTTCTTTACATATTTAAAAACAGCTGGTATGTGGCACTATATAGATTTTAAAAACTAGCTGAAAGTAATCTGAACATTTTTTTTCCCCTTACATGTGTAAACTTTAAAATTGTAGGTATTCTTTTGGCAAATACTATAAATTATTTCTAAGTGTTTTAGCATAACTAAAGGCCTGGCCCTGTAAGCTGATCTAAGCAGTGGACCTCTATGAAAATCCACAGATCTCAGAGCGCTCCACATGCGTTTTAAATTTCTGCTCACACGGATCAGCTTGCAGAACTGGAGGTCTAGTAGCTTAATATGTTAAATATAATCTACTGCATTTAATTCTAGTCTGTATAACTTTAGCAATAGTGGTGAAACTGGACTTGATCTGAACATAGAAGTTTCAATTGTGTAAATGTTAAGTGCAGATACAGTGTAGTACTCTTGCAACAATGTCATTTCAGCCAGTACTGGGTGTCATTGTTCCTAAATGAATGGGATTTTTAGATAGCTAAGTAGTGATATGACATGGTAGTAGTGTTCCACATTTCTGAATCTACTGCAATCTGCTTATTTTGTAAATCTCTCAGCATTTGCTGTATTGTAAATGAGTTTTCATGCCAGTTATTCAAGACCAGTTTTCAATCTCTTATTTAAAACTTTAAGAACTGTCAAAAATTGATTTAAATGTACAATATAGAAATCTGGGTCCATAGAGATTGAAGTGTAGCTCTCACTTCATTTTTTTTCTTCCAAATGGCATAGAAGCAATGAAAATTCTATATTCCAATAGTTTATCTTAAATGTCAGAGATGCTTCTGAAAATTTAAGGGTGTGTTCCCCTGCCCCCTCCCTCTCTCTCTCGGTACAACAATAATGCCATCAGTAGTAGTATATTACTGCAGTCTACTATCACCCTGTTTAAAAAATAAAAATAAAAAAAAGATTGCTGTTTTAAGTAGAGGAGGTTTTTAAATGACTACTCAACAATTTTTTAAATGATTTTTAAATCAAATTCCAAAGTATTCTTGGCTATAGAAAGAATTGTATTTCAAAAGAACTGTAAATTATGTTGCTATGAACTATTTAAAATAAGAGATGTAGACAATAAACTACAACTGTTGTTTATGTGACACTATTACTGTAATTTTTTCTGATTTAGACCATAGTAGACTTGGTAAAAATCACAGAATGCTGGATGCCAATGTGATAAAGAAAAAGCTTATTCCTATATTCTTGAGCTATTGATGTGACTTGTCAGATTTTAATATCCGTTGAATGCCATAGAAGATGGGGGGGCGTGCACGTATAAATAAATATAAAGCAAGTCATGCTTGTCTGTCTCCAAACATGACCTGTTGTAATCCGTGAGGATACCCCTCCCCCACTCTGGGGGATTATAGTCCCATTTAGATGTTCTCCAGTCACATTAATTTAAATCACACTGTTTATCCTCCTGTGGAAGCAGTGGTGAATAAGACCAGCTTATCATAACATACAGACAGATCCACTGCTTGAGGGGCTATTCCTATGGAGGATAGGAGTAAAGAAACTGATGAAAGTATTACAATAAGTTTCTCTTAAATTTGCTGGCTATTTTTGTTTTCTTTTAGAGAAATGCTTTTTTGTATTTAAGGCTTTCATATGAACCCTTGTAGAAAATTCTGTATCTTAAATTTTATTTTCAGTATGCATTAAAAGTCAGTATGGCTAGCACCAATTAAATTGTTAATTGACAATGCTGCAAAAATCTGTAGTAGTGTGCAGTACTCCTCAAAAATTTTCAGTGCTGAATCTGAGGGAGGTTTCTGTCAAGAAACTTGCTCCCTCTAAACCCAGTCTCCACGAATACTGCTTAAAACATTTGCAGAATTAGTGTAAAAATCCATGCTTATCTGTTCGAAAGTTCATTGTGATCTGAAGCTTATACAATTTAGTGGAATTATGGAATTACAAAATATCAATATTATAAATTCAGTGATTCAACACTTATTCACTGAGTGAACTAAATATCACTGCATCACTATGGTTCACATGTGCTTTAACTAACTGTTCTGGTTTTAAGTCAGTTATGGATTTCTGAGATTTCCATTCTTGCTGAGATTTTATAATCCTTGGTCTTCCTTTATTTCATTCTAAAGAGAATCCTTTGAACTAAATATTGCTGTTTTTAAACACTTATTCACTATCACTTGTATCTCCTTATCTGTGCAATTATTTAACTGTTTCTTTTCAGATGGTTTTGTGGGGAGGGATAGCTCAGTGGTTTGAGCATTGGCCTGCTAAACCCAGGGTTGTGAGTTCAATCATTGAGGGGGCCACCTGGAGATCTGGGGCAAAATCAGTACTTGGTCCTGCTAGTGAAGGCAGGGGGCTGGACTCGATGACCTTTCAAGGTCCCTTCCAGTTCTAGGAGATGGGATATCTCCATTAATTATTATAGAAGGATTAGTAAAATCAATGAGGGAAATAAGATTAGGCCTAATACTAAGGGTATGTCTACACTGTAGTTAATATGCATGGCTGGCCCATGCCAGCTGACTCAGCCCGAGCCCAGTGGGCTGTTTAGTTGTGGTGCAGACATTCAGGCTCAGGCTAGAGTAGAGGTGGGCAAACTCTCTTTGGCCTGAGGGCCACATTGGGTTTTGGAAATTGTATGGAGGGCCGGTTAGGGGAGGGGGATGTGGCCACCCCCCCTGGACTCCTGCCCCATCCAACCACCCCTTTTCCCTGTCCCCTGACTGCCCCATCCAACCCCCCCTCCTTCCTGACTGCCCCCTGACCCATTCCCCCATTCAACCACCTGTTCCCCGCCCTCTGACCACCCCGACTCCTATCCACACCCTAACCTCTGACCACCACCCCAACTCCCCTGCCCTCTAGCCAACCCCCCGCTCCTTGCCGCCTTACCGCGCTGCCTGGAACACTGGTGGCTGGTGGTGCTATAGCCATGCACCGCGCAGCACAGAGCATCGGGTCAGGCTGGGCGCTGCCCCAGGAGCTCACAGGCCCACTGCCCAGAGCATTGTGCCAGCGGCGGGGCGAGCTGAGGCTGCATGGGAGGGAGAACAGCAGGGGAGGGGCCAGAGGCGAGCCTCCCAGGCCAGGAGCCGGGCAGGAGAGTCCCACAGGCCAGATGTGGCCTGCGGGCTGTAGTTTGCCCACCTCTGGGCTAGAGGCTGGACTCCGGGACCCTCTCACCAGCAGAAGTTGGTCCAATGAAAGATACTGCCTCACCCACCTCATAATATTTTTGATTATTTTATCAAATTGAAAATGATGTTTTCTAAAGCTCTGGCTTTTTGTAAGTCCCTGTGTTTTCCTGTAATTAACGTAGCTGACACATCTGTCTCCTTTCTCTTTAAACAGTCATTCAGTCTATCAAGAAAGAAAATAGTCCACTATACCAGTTTTGATCAGCGGAAACGAGCAAATGCAGCATTTTTAATAGGGTCATATGCAGTAAGTATCACTTGTTTATATACACCTCTATTCTTCCCTGAGCAGACACTTTAGCCATAGTTTTACATGGCAGCAAAACATAGACTTCAGTGAAATAGTGAGACCGTCATTCAATCTTCTGTAATCTAGCTCTTTGTACTGTTTCTTCAAGGTGTAATTAGAACTTTGATGGAGTTGCTTTTTCTGTAGTAGCCTATTCTGATCTTTTAAAGTTTAACTTTAGGATAAATTGTTTATGTAATCAGTAATTAAGATGGGTTTCCAAAAGTGTTTGTGCTATAGCTGAACTAATTGAATAACAAATATGATTACAGATTTTAATGTATAATGCAAATACAAGTACACTGACTTTTTTCCATTATCCTTGAGCGGTACAGATTGAGTTAATATGCCGCTTATACAGTACATGAGGTACATGGGGAAAGATCTTAGTCCTTTTAGAGGATAAGTCATAGATTTTCTAGCAATTGGTATTTCTTGCTCCAATTGCTTATCTTTTGTAAGTGAATTATTTCTCTAGCAGTATCTGTTTTGTTTCCCCCTTCACGAAAACTAATGTAGATATCAAGCTTATACATTTCTCATACAGGTAGCGTATATCTTGAAGGAAATCAGAAAAGGTAATCAAATGGCATTATCTCAGAATTCTGAAGAAAGTCTTAAGAATGGAAAATTTAAACCTTAACCACCATTACTGCAGAAGTGTTTAATTTGGACCTCTCCCCTTACAATTTAGCTTCCCTTAACCACAAATAATCATTCTTTGACCTAGGAAATTGTCACGCATTGAGAATTATGATCACACTTTGTGAGCGAGCAAAAGGATCAGACTTATGAATGAGGTGTGTGGTTTTTTTTGTAGTAAGTTGTGGTAGTGGCTGATAACAGCAAACTCTTGTAAAATTTACCATGTCATTCTCTTTTTTTTATCAAATACTAATTTTAATTTTAAAAGCTTGGTTTTAAAACAGAGTATCAAAAAGCATCCTGTGATCTTTTAATGCCAAACTTTACCCCAAAGTGGATTTGTGTATCTGAATGTTAAATCACTGAGAAAAGGTTGTCATGAAAAATCTATCAAAAATTCTTTGGAAACACTGGAGATATCTGTGGGTTGGAAAGAATGTGGTGTTCTTCAAGTAATGTCCCTATAGGTGCTTAGCTCAGCTTCAGATACGCATGGGCCCTATGCCCCAAGTAGTGAAGCACCATAGGTAGAAACATCTCAAAGAACTCCTGTTACTGTGCAGGGTCAGTAACGTCTCCTTGCATCCATCCTCAAGACTGGATCCAGAATTCCAAGAGAGCAACAAACTTATAATTATGATTTCTACCAGAGGGGAAACAACTAAACTGAGGACAAACTAGTCTCCAAAAGAGATAAGAGGTAGTTTTCTGAAATAGATGCTATAAATTAAAGCTGTATCAGCTTCACTGGTTTGCAAAGACAGAGCTGAGTACCAGAGAAGGATATGAGTCCAAAGCATAAGAACATAAGAACGGCTGTACTGGGTCAGACCAAAGGTCCATCTAGCCCAGTGTCCTGTCTACCAACAGTGGCCAATACCAGGTGCCCCAGAGGGAGTGAACCTAACAGGTAATGATCAAGTGATCTCTCTCCTGCCATCCATCTCCACCCTCTGACAAATAGAGGCTAGGGACACCCTTCCTTACCCTCCTGGCTAATAGCCATTAATTGACTTAACGTCTATGAATTTATCCAGTTCTCTTTTAAACGCTGTTATAGTCCTAGCCTTCACAACCTCCTCAGGTAAGGAGTTCCACAAGTTGACTGCGCTGTGTGAAGAAGAACTTCCTTTTATTTGTTTTAAACCTGCTGCCTATTAATTTCATTTGGTGACCCCTAGTTCTTGTATTATGGGAATAAGTAAATAACTTCCTTATTCACTTCCTCCACATCACTCATGATTTTATATACCTCTATCATATCGCCTCTTAGTCTCCTCTTTTCCAAGCTGAAAAGTCCTAGCCTCTTTAATCTCCCCTCATATGGGACCCGTTCCAAACCCCTAATAATTTTAGTTGCCCTTCTCTGAACCTTTTCTAGTGCCAGTATATCTTTTTTCGAGATGAGACCACATCTGTTCGCAGTATTCAAGATGTGGGCGTACCATCGATTATATAAGGGCAATAATATATTCTCCTTCTTATTCTCTGTCACCTTTTTAATGATTCCTAACATCCTGTTTGCTTTCTTGACCGCATCTGCACACTGCGTGGATGTCTTCAGAGAACTATCCACAATGACTCCAAGATCTTTTTCCTGATTTGTTGTAGCTAAATTAGCCCCCATCATATTGTATGTATAGTTGGGGTTATTTTTTCCAATGTGCATTACTTTACATTTATCCACATTAAATTTCATTTGCCATTTTGTTTCCCAATCACTTACTTTTGTGAGATCTTTTTGAATTTCTTCACAGTCTGCTTTGGTCTTAACTATCTTGAGCAGTTTAGTATCATCTGCAAACTTTGCCACCTT